GCGCCAGAGTCAACTAAGCACTGGCCAGGCACGGTGGCTGCGTTTCTTTTATAGCGCCAAGTGGCAACCAGCTTCCCGCGAAATCAAGTTGCGACTGTTAAACTACACGATATCGCGTTGCGATAGTCACCTGAGCACCGTTCAAACACATAAATAAAAAATAGACTTGTGATGGGTATTATAATTTCGGTGTAGTCGAAGCTAAGTTTTTTTCTTGTTTTTTGTTGGGGCAAAACAAAATGAAATTGTATTATAAGATCTGTAGCGTAACGCTTTCTTAACGACATAGTTGGAGTCAAAAGCTTTTTGTACCAATTTTACTGGGTTGTTATGTAGTTTGTGCATTTTTTAACCAAACTATGTGCATACATATATACCTTTTACCATACCCACATATAGTCGAATGAGTTTTGCCTTCGTAAGCGTTTTCATAAAAGCATATACCGTGTATACACATATAATAAAGGATGCTTGTGAATCCTTTTTGTATGCCAAGCCAATTCTCTTACATATGCTCTCTCCGTTTAACTTTTGCAWGCATCAAGATTTGTCAGACTAGATTGATTGCTCACCGAATGGGTTGCACTGCAGCCTGATGGCGTACATCCATTATTGGTGTGCGTAAGGTAAAGGCAAACGTGTGCTTACGAAAATTACTATGTACACACCATCTGTATGGGCATACATACATACATGTATATGTGCATGTATATGAAAAGCTGAAATTTGCATATATGTTTATGTGTATATGAAATTGGCTTAAATTTCAGAAAATGGCAACATTTGAAAACGCCACAATAAGTATTGTGTTCTCAAAAGCAAGCCATCTGTTGTACGAGATTATATTGTATTGCTTTGATGTTGGGCCCCTTTGACTCAATTGTGGAGCAAATTAAAAATAGAAAGTGAAAAATACATAAAACATGAAGTTAGCTAATGTGGATACGGCCCCTGGTATGCTCTCGGGACAAACACGTCAATCAAAAAGTACATATTTTTTTGCGTAAATGACAGAATCATTATACATACTTAATCATTGTAATGTAACATGTTTGGCTGAAATTATGAGTGTTTGGTGAAAACAAACCTTGAATATGATAAATTTAAGGCAGTGCTGCGTGTGAATATGAGACTACACTTACTTTTTTATAAAAATTCATTAATATTATATAATGTATAACCTTTCAAACACGTAAAGTTWTTATTTGCTGTCATAATTTTATAGCATGGAATATTTCTGAGGGATTTTAAATAACTTTTTCCCCATATCYTACTGTTTCAAGGGTTATAAGATGTGTACGGTGAAGCGCTAACGGAAAAATTGGTTTGCGAAATTTCGTTCCGGCAATCTCGATATTTAGGATACACTACGTTACGGTAGTTCACCTGAAACCGCTGTGAATAAAATAAAGTCGTTGGTTAATGCAGTCGCCGTGTAACAACTCGAGAGGCTGCTGAAAAACTAAATTTAT